AGCCCGCCCAGGTGTGCCCGCGGTGTGTGACTGGACTCCCTCCCCTTGCCTTGCAGAGGATGGCGCCGGGCGCTACATCTCCCCCTTCCACGATATCCCCATGTACGCGGACGCCGGGAAGGTAAGAGCGGGTCCGGAGACACGCAGGGCGTCGGGGAGTCCTGAAACAACGGGGAGATGCGGGGTCCAGGAACATCCGAGGGATCGGGGGGTCTGGGAACACGCAGAGGATCAGGAGATCTGGGAACATCCCAGGGTCCAGGGAATCTGGGAACACACAGGGGACCAGGGGATCTGGGAACACACAGGGGATCAGGAGTCCTGAAACATCCAAGGGATCAGGGGATCTGGGAACATGCAGGGGATCAGGGGTCCTGGAACATCCAAGGGACATGGGGATCTAGAAACATGCAGGGGATCTGGGAATATTCAGGAGACCAGGGGTCCTGAAACATCCAAGGGACCAGGGGATCTGAGAGCATACAGGGGATCTGGGGATCTGGGAACACAGAGGGAATCAGGGATCCTGAACCATCCAGGAGATCAGGGGGTCCTGGAATATCCAAGGGATCAGGGGATCTGAGAACATCCCATGGTCAACGGGATCTGGGAACCTCCTGGGGACCAGGGGATCTGGGAACATCCCAGAGTCCAGGGAATCTAGGAACACACAGGGAACCAGGGGATCTAGGAACACACAGGGAACCAGGGGATCTAGGAACACACAGGAGTTCAGGGGATCTGGGAACACACAGGAGTTCAGGGGATCTGGGAACACAGAGGGGTCCAGGGGTCCTGAAACATCCAGGAGACCAGGGAATCTGGGAACATCCAGGAGCTCAGGGGTCCTGAAACATCCAAGGGACATGGGGATCTGGGAACATCCAGGGGATCTGGAAACACACAGGGATCAGGGGTTTTGAAACATCCAGGGACTTGGGAGGTCCTGCAGCCTGAGACCCCTGGGGCAGGCTCACCCTACAAGGAATGGGTTTCTCTCCATCCTGGCCTCGGGTGGAGCAATCCAGGAGAAGAGAATGGATGATCTCATTCCCATTTCCTGCGTCAGAGATGTGAGTGGCTGGCTTGAGCTCACCGATGCAGGCATTTTGGGTTAGCTAAGCAGAAAATGCTTTTTTTGCAATGCCTACCCCCATTCCTATGGGTGCTGCATGGTATTTCAAGCTTGGGGTTTGGCTGCAGTAAAATCCAGCAAAGAACTGAGGGTGAAGATGAGCAGGTTAAATTCCTGCTGGAGCATCTCCTGGGAGCTCTTGCCTGGCAGAACCTGCCCCTTGCAGTGCTGCAGGGCTTTCACATCCTTCTAGCAGCCAGTGGTTAGGGAAATCAGGCTGTTCTGAGTAAAAAATGCCCCAGCTTCAGGAAATCAAAATGGTTGTGTTTCAGTTTTCATTTAATGTATTTTCAGTGGTGCCTCAGGCTCTCTGTTTCCTTTACTGATGTAGCTTGTTCCTTTCTCTGGCTATAAATCTATGCAGCTTGGGAAATGCAGTGGAGCAGCTACTACTTGTTGGAGAGAGCTGAAATTCAGAGGTGGGGAGTGGTTCTGGAAAGGAAAAAGGGAAAAAATCTGAGAGATGAACCTCAAGAAAGCAGCTGATTGAGCTGCTGGGGTGAAGGTGATGGAGCTGCCTGAGGCGCTTTGGGAAGTCTGTAGTGGCTTTTGCCTTCACAGAGGAGAAAAATGGATTGTGGTCATCCAGGACTCAGTAGGGAAGGAATTCCTAGTGCAGGTAACCCAGACAAGGAAAATCCAGATAATGCCACACCTTGCAGGTGCCTGCAGAACAGAGGAGGAAAGAGCAGGGGAATGAGTACAGAGGTGAGGGGGAGTTCCTTGACCTGGTAGTGCTTCACAGGGGAAGCTGGTGTGCCCTCAGGCATGCAGTGCTGCTGCCAGCACCTCTGTGCCAAGTCATTCAGAGAAAAAAGTCCCAATAGCTGAAGGTCGCAGTCCCTGCAGTTACACAATAGTGCTGCTCCCTCCCACGGGGCTCTCTCTGTGGCTGGAGTGCCTCAGCACTGAGTTTTACCCATCACTTAGCAGGTGGGCTGCCAGCCACAGTGCAGAGCAAAAGGTTGTCCCACTCTGTCTGGGCTCCTTGATCTTTATCCTCAGACTCCTAAGACGCTGAGAGGATTGCAGGGTGTTTTTTTCAGCTCAGGCTGGGTTGTGCTGACCTTACCCAGACCTGTGTCATTGCAAAGGGATGACCTTGAGCTGCTCTCTGTCTTTGACCAAGCTGGACCATGGAGGAGCTTCAGTCCTTACAAAGATGCAGCCCCAAGTCATCTTTCCCTGCCTGCAAAGCCATAAGCTCCCAGCCCAGCCTGTTCCAGTGGTCTCATTCATTCCCTGGAGTTAGGAATAAACCCAGTTGTGGGCCTTTCTGCAAAATGCAAGTGAGCAGTGACCCCCTGCAATTAAGGGGCTGTGATAAAGCTCTGCTGGGGAAGGGTGTGGGCAAAGGCAGTGATGTAACAGCGCTTGTTGCACAATATCAATCCAATTATGGGGCAATACAGGTTCCAGGGACTTTGCCATGCTAATACTGCTTAAGGTGGAGATTAGAAACCTTGCCCAGGCCAGGGAGCAAGGTTTGACTTTTTGTTAAAAAGCCATAATCTCTTCAAACAGCAGATGTGAAGGTTCAGGTGTGGAAAAGCCTGTTTTCCTGGAGAGGAGGCTGACATTGAACTCTCATCCCAGCTGGATAAACAGGAGATGTTTTCAGGTGTCACCTGTAAATGTGATACAGTGAGATGTGGTTCTGCACTTCTCTCCCATGTTTTCATCCTCACTCCATGCCACTAGCAAGGTCTGCTGTTACAGGAGTGTCAGCCTGGAGAAAGGGCATTCTTCCCTACATTATAGCTGGAATATTTGGGAGTGATGGTCTCACTCATTCAGGGCTGTCATGGATACCCACACTATTAAAAAGATGGCTTGTCCTGTTGGTCTTGTCTTTTCTGGATGGCCAGAGTGGCTCTTTGTATTTAATAAATATGGCCCAAACCCCATTTTGTTATGTCCAGGGTAGTTTGTGTGCAGCTGTTTGCCATTGATTTAACCTGTTCCTGTAGCCTAGGAATGGGATGGGGATGTTTGTAGGTGGCAACTGATGGAGAACATGTGGGAACCTCCATCTGGCCTTTGGGATTTTCTGTGGGATTCAGCTTGGAGTGATGGCAGGTGACTGACTGGGCTACAGGACTTTTATCAAAAGTCTCAAAATTAGGACTGAAAAAAAAAAAGCAGAAAACAACCATGGTTTCAGGTGAGCTGGCTGGTTTTTCTGCTCACTGTATGTGTTCCCTAGTTTAAAAGATTCCTTCCCACTCACTGCTCTTCTGCTTCCTTCAGAATGTGTTCAACATGGTTGTGGAGGTGCCTCGATGGACAAATGCTAAAATGGAGGTAATTTACAGCTCCATCCCAATCCTTGGCTTTGCCAGTCCCTCCTCAGATCCACCTCCAGAATCAGAGTGCTTTCTAACTTCTCCTCTCAGCCCGTGCTTGGTGCTGGAGGTCTGGTGTGGAGGCTGAGGTTGCAGATGTTGGAATGCCATGGGGTTCTCCCTTCTGATTAAAGCAATGTTTTATGGCTCTAAGCCCCATGGGGTTCCAAGGCTTGTAAGTCTGCTGGAAACCCTATCCCAAGGGATGGCATTGCAACAGGAGGTGTCCAATGTCTGCTGCTGGCATCAGCATCATCTCCTGGTCTCTTGGCTTGTCAATTCCATTAAAAAATAATTACTTTATTATTCATAAAGGGTAAAGCATAGGGATTTATTTATAGCTATATCAATATAATATAATGTAGTAATAATTATAGTAATATAAATAATACAATAGTATATTATAATAATTTATATCATTATTATGAATATAATATAATGTAATGTAATATAATATAACATAATATACATATTATATATTTTAATATTATATATATTATAATATATAAATATATTATATATTGTTATATTGTATATAACATAATATACATATTATATTATATATATTATTATATTATATTTTATTATCTAAATATATACTATTATATATCGTGTATAATAGTATATAATTATATAATAGTGTATAATACTATATAATTACATAAACTTATATATATATTATATTATAATAATTAAATATATGCTATACTATGCTATAATATGATATAATAGTATGGTAGAGTATATTATAATAATTAAAAATATAACATAACATAATGTAATATAATGTAATACAGTATAGTAATGCAGTATAGTAATACAGTATTATATTAAATTATATTACATTACATTATATTATATTATATTAATTTATATTATATCATATCATATTAATTTATATTATAATGATTATATATTTATAAATTTTTTTTATTTATTTATTCGTAACTCTTCTTTCAGATTTCCACCAAGGAACCCTTGAACCCAATTAAGCAAGATGTGAAGAAGGGGAAGCTGCGCTTCGTAGCGAACGTGTTTCCCCACAAGGGCTACATCTGGAATTATGGTGCCATCCCACAGGTGCTGTGGTTTATCCCAGTGGCTCATCCCTCCTGGTGGGGAGGAGGGAGGGTTTCTGTGCCTGTATTAATGAGCAAAAAGGTCAGGAGAGAGTCTGGTCTGGAGCGTGGTGTTTGCAGCTGGATGTGTTGTCCTGCTGAGGGAGAGAACCTGTCAGGAAGGAAAACAGGGGTATTTTTAAGCAGAAATTCCAGGTTTTAGGCTTCTGTCTGATGTTAAAAACAAGCTCCCTGAGGATGAGCTGCTGCTGCTCACCCCCAGCTGCTGGAGCTCGGCTGGGCAGGAGCAGGCAGCTCCTTCTGTGGCTGGAGGGAGCTGTCATGGTGCATGTGGCCATGCAGTGCCTTCAGTTCCTGCCTGGCAGAGCACGAGGCTTTATCCTGAGGCTGCAGGATTGAGGCTGAATCCTTATGGGAAACTCTTCTTGCCAACGCCCAGCACTGCACAGATGTGCTTTCCAGAAACAGCTGGCAGGGTGGCACCACGATAGTGACATCTGCACACGTGCTCCTAAATGGCTGGGGGCTGCCAGATAAAGAGGGACTTCAAACCAGGCTGTTTGCCTGTGATGTTCTCTGAGGCTGGGGTTTCCTGCAGAGAAATTAGCTGTGAGTGTCAGATCACAGGCAAACACTCTGAGTTTGGTGTTTGTGCTCCTGACAGCAGCACATGTCGAGTCCTTTCCCCACGTGGCTTTACAGGTTGAGTTGTTTCCTGCTTGAATGGGTTCTGGTGCCTGTTTCTTTGTGTCTTTTGAAGCCTGTCATGTATTTGTGGATCAAAGGTGTTTATGCATCAAGAGCTTAACGCTTCCTGCTAGAGAAGTGTGACTGTGTTTGTGGCCCCACAGTACCACCCAGGTGTCAGAACATCTCCCTGAACACTTCCTGAACATCACAAGGTCCTGACTATACTGGGCTTGTCCTGGTATACAGAAGTTTGGGAAGAACATGCCTTTTTATATCTCAGCCTCCTTAGGGAGTACTTCCTTATGATGGAAGTGGGCATGGAGTGCTTTTCACTCCTGATCAGGAGCATGTTTCAAACAGCTCTTGTTCTTGGAGTCAATTAATTGGCCTCTGGAGTCGTGTCCTTCAATGTGCATTCACCACTGTGGGTGAGATGCACTGGGGAGCACAGTGGGACTTCACATTCTTATCACTTCTCCAGGGTTAACAGTGTCTTTAATTGTTTAATTAAAGGGAAACAATACACCCTGCCTGTCTTCCACCTCTGCTGGGCTGCTATCTGGAGTTCAGGAAACTTCTGCTAAGGAATGAATAGGGAGAGGAACAGGCAGGAAGCCAAATCAACAATTGCCCTTTATAGATGTGAACTTCACCTTTATGCAGCTGTGGGACAGAGGAGGAAGTCTGGAAAGTTGTTGGAAGGGGGTTTGTGGGTAGGAAGGGGCTGCTTACCTTGTGGAAGATGAGAGCTTTTAACTCGAATTCCAACTTCCCAGGCCCAAGGGAAGCAGCAGCCCAAATACCTGACCTGGCAGCAGGTGTGAAGTGGGCCATGCTCTGTTTATTCCAGGCAGCTGCATGCCCAAAATAAACCTGCTTTTTACTATCTCTTTAAATCTCTGTGTTCTTATTCTTATGTGTGGTTGATTTTGGTGTTGGTTTGGGGTTTGTTTTTCAGACTTGGGAAGACCCAAGTCACAAGGATGAAAATACTGGTTGCTGTGGAGATAACGATCCCATTGATGTGTGCGAGATTGGAAGCAAGGTAACACATCCTCAACAACTCCTGAAACGTGTAATTAATGTCTGCAAAGCCAATTATCCAGGGCCATTATTCATTTCCTACCTCCCCTCCCTTAACAATGTGCTGTTTCCCTCGGCTGCCTCTGGAGATTGCTGCTGAGATGAGGCAGGGCTGCTGAGCTGCTGACAGCCAGAGCTCATTTCATGGTGGCTGCCTGCTGCTGAGCCCCTGCACAGCCTCCTGCCCTGCTCTCCCTGCGTGCAGCAGGGCCTTTGTCCCTGTCCTGCTCTCCCTGGGTGCAGCAGGGCCTTTGTCCCTGTCCTGCTCTCCCTGGGTGCAGGATGGACAGCAGGGCCTTTGTCCTGGCAGGTGTGCTCCAGGGGAGAAGTGATCCAAGTGAAGGTGCTGGGCACGCTGGCCCTGATCGATGAAGGAGAGACAGACTGGAAGGTCATTGCTATCAACGTTGAGGACCCCGAGGCAGCCAGCTACAATGGTGAGTTCTGGGGGTGTTCCAGTGCTTCTCTTCCTCCCCTGGGAGCCTGCAGGAGCTGGGGACAGGGTTTGCTCCTTCTGTGCCCTGCTGGCAATCAGGTGTGATGCTGGAAGGACCATCCTGGAGTGTGACGGTGTTCACAGGGGTCTTATGTTGAAGGAAGAGATGAGGATCTGACTCCATGTTTCAGAAGGCTTGATTTATTATTTTATGATATATATTACATTAAAACTATACTAAAAGAATAGAAGAAAAGGTTTCATCTCAGAAGGATGGCTAAGCTAAGAATAGAAAAAGAAAGAATGATAACAAAGGTTTGTGGCTCAGAGAGTCCGAGCCAGCTGACTGTGATTGGCCATTAATAATAAACAACCACATGAGACCAATCCCAGATCCACCTGTTGCATTCCACAGCTGCAGATAATCATTGTTTACATTTTGTTCCTGAGACTTCTCAGATTCTCAGGAGGAAAAAATCCTAAGGAAAGGATTTTTCATAAAAAGATGCCTGCGACACTGGAGCAAAATATTTCACTGCTGTTTGTCTTATGTGGCCAATCCTCTGCACAGCCTGGTATTCCAGCACAGGGCAAGGGAAGGGATTGTCCCCCAAGCCCCTAATCCAGGCTGTTTAAATGTGTCCAGGCTCCTGGGGACACGGGATGCACACCCTGGGGATGATACACTCATTTCCCTGAGGAGATACTCACTGGGACCTCAGGGAACCCGTCTGAAATATGGCTAAGGCTGCCTGGGGACGGGCTGAAAGAGGCACAGCCCAGAACAACTCAGCAGAGCCACTTAAATTCTGTAATTCACTGCATGCTGTGACTGTTCCTGGCTAACAAACCCCGTCCCCTGCCAGACATCGAGGATGTCAGAAGGATGAAGCCTGGATACTTAGAAGCTACCGTGGACTGGTTCAGAAGATACAAAGTACCTGATGGAAAGCCAGAAAACCAGTTTGCCTTTAATGGGGAATTCAAAGGCAAGGTAGGATCACCTTCCTGTGCACAGAGTCCCAAAGCTGAGCTCAGGCTGGGTGGGGACACGAGTGAGGTGCTGAGAGAATGGATTTTAATGGAGTGCTGAGAGTTGATTTTCAGTTCATCCTGCTGGTTTTTTTCCAGCCTAATGAGTGCAGGAATACCAGAAAAAAATGCCTGGGTTTATCACCGTGGTGTTGTTGAATATTTTTTTCATGTGGGATCACTTCAGGGCTGGGAGCCTTGGTGTCAGGACCAGGTGGAAAACACCAGGTTTGTTTGCTCCAGCTCTGTAGCAAAGGCAGCTTGGCATCACCCTTTGCCTCCCTTACCCATTGGCTTTGTTCCACTGCAACCTGGTGCAAGTTAAAGTTAACTGAGGAGTTAAAACACTTTCTTCCTTCAGGCATGAAGTGTTCCCTCACACCCTGTGAGTAAGGCTCTGCCTTGGCAGCGCTCTGCCTCTTCTCTGGGTTGGATCAGATAAGTTACTGCTCCTGAGCAGGTGAAATCCTGTTCTGGTGTCCTCACTCCTGCCCTTCCTGGAGTGCCAGGAGGGGTTTAGTGAGGTGACTCAACTCCCAGGGCTCCAGAGGTGCTGCAGAGGAGGGGAGCTCTTCCCAAAGCCCTCTGGAACAGAAAATGGAAGCCGTGAAGGACTTGTCCCCTTTGGCTGTAGCACAGCACTAGGCTGGTCAGGCTGGAACATCTTGCTGCCCCTCAGGATGGGTAAAACTCATCAAGGAAACTGGAAAATCAGGATAAAGAACCTCAGACATGCTCTGCAGTGTTTTATTTGGCTCTCTTTGGTATCAAACCAGGATATTTAGTGCTGGTGTTCACACCAACAATGAACTTGTGTGTTCCCTTCTCCAGCTGACAGGTTAATGCTTGAGCGTATATTGCTCCTTTTTAAGGGAAGAGCTTGATCTGCCTGGAAACAAATGGAGTTTTAAGTAGTTGCAAAGCCAGCTCAGCTGCATGTCTCTTCCTGCTGCTCTGAATTGTTTGCTGGAGTGCAGGGAGCTCCTGGCCAGGCCTGGATCAGCAGCTGCTGGAGACAAAGCCAGTGGGAGGAGCAGCAGGGTGGAGGTGCTTCTAGAATGGAGCACTGGCCCCAGACTCTGTTCAGTTTCTTTTGGCCCCAAGTTCACTCTGTGACCTTGGCAGATCCTCCCATCTTGAAAGCAAAACAATTCTGCTGCACAGTCCTGGTTGTTTCAGCTGTTGTGTGCTGGGAGTTTCTGCTCTTCCTGAGCAGCACTGGAGGGGAAGAGGTTTCTTCCAGCCCCTTCCAGAGCTGCCTAAAATCAGCTCCTTGTGAGTGAGGGTCTGGAGAAGGTGGTCTGGTGCTTCCATATGACATGATGTTTGTTCTCATCTCCAACTTCAGGATTTTGCCCTGGATGTCATCAAAGGCACCCACGAACACTGGAAAGCTTTAATAACAAAGAAAACTGATGGAGGGGAGATCAACTGGTAGGTCAATGCTTGTGTGCCCCTTCCTCTTCCCTGAGCTAAAACCCCTGGAACATCCCTTCCTGATGGGGTGCCATGTTTTCTGTGAGCTGCTGGCTGCCTTCCCCCTCCACCTGGCAGCTGAGACCCTTCATATTCCATTATTTCCTGCTCCTGGGGGGAGGCTGGGCTTGCACCTTCTCACAAGCACCCAATGTCTTCCAGCACCAACCTGACAGTGTCTGAGAGCCCCTTCTGCTGTAGTCAAGACTGTGCAAAAGCTACTGTGGATGCAGTGAGTACCAGTTTGAGTGGCCAAATCCTGGTGTTATTATCAGGGAAAACGGTGCAATTTGTGTGGTGAGCTGTCCTGTCTGTGTGGATGGCATGCTCAGAGTGTTTTGTGTGGCTGAACACCTGCTTCTGGTTAAACAGGATGGATGTGGAGCCAACCAGACATTCCCCCAGAGGCTTCTCCCTGCCCTTAGTCACCCAAGAGATGGAATCCCAAATGGAGTTTGCATGGAGGGCTAAACTTCTGAGCTGTAGCTTGGCTGTCAGCTGTTCTGAGAGGGTTTTCATGTTTGGGCTTCCAAGAGCTTCACAGTGCAGGTCTCCCTCTGAGAAAAGAGAGTCCAATTCCCCAGGGATTTTGCAGCTTCACGATGAAGAGCTTGACATTCCTGGTGTAGTTCTCCTGTCCAGGCTCAGGAATTAATTGTCTCCCTGGGCTTGAAGAGTACTGCTGTTGGCAACCTGAAAGGGCTTAGAGGGAGGGGACAGGAAAATCAAAATGCAAATCTTGGATCCCTTCCATAACTGGAAACCTGAGTCTCTCTGTAGCCTTGGAAAGACCTTTAAAGCAATTGTGTATTTTTCTTAAGTGCTGCTATCCCAATTAGGGGTCTCAGTGAGGTTTTTGAAAGCCCTCATGGAGGTTGTGTCACCAGACAGGGATTTTCTCTGTCTTGGGTTGTTGAATACCAGGGAAAGCTCTTCAGAGGAGTTTTCAGAAAGCCTCTGGAAACTCCTCTGAAGAGCCTTTGTGCCTCTATTTCCCCATATTTTTTAAACCAATGTTGCAGGTTAAAATAAAGCAGCTGCCTGCACCTGTGTAGGGTCTGGAGTGGGAACTGCTTGTGCTGGGAGTGGCCCTGGAGCAGAGCCCCTGGGGCATCCCTGGAATGGGGAGGCTCCAGGAATGACAGGACACTGCATGGGAGCTCAGTTGTTCCCCCACAGCTGCCACAGGGCTCAGAGGGTGCTCAGGAAAGATTTGTGCAGCCCTAAATGCTGTGTGGAGAGTGAAGGACACCTCTGGTCTCTGATGATAAACACCCTTCTTGTTTCAGACGCCGCCGTGTAAAGCTGCCAGCCCCGTCCCACCTGAAGGTGAGCCCAAAACCCCCCTGAGACCCCAGCATGGAGCAGGGGCTTCCTTAGGGAAGCTGTCCTTGGGAAAATGAGGGTCTGAACTAAACCTGGATGGTGCTGCAGCCAGGAAAACGAGGGGCTGAGCTAAACCTGGATGGTGCTGGAGCCAGGAAAACGAGGGTCTGAACTAAACCTGGATGGTGCTGGAGCCAGGAA